ACAAGCTCACCTAGAATAAATAATGGTGCATGACATAGGCTTTTAGACCACAACCCGGATGAAAACCAAATAGATGGCTTTTCTCTCATGCAAGCTGCTCTTAAAACATCATTTCTGTTCAGAGATGCATTTGAATGTCTTGACTCCCCCTCGCTCGTGTCTTAGGTTAGATTAGCAAAGCTTTAGCTGTCCACTTAAAGGACATGCGATAGCCTTGCTCCGGACTAAATCGCGGTGTCTGGTAAAAAAAAAATGCGCCCCCCCTCCCTTTTTCTTTTTCCTCCTAATCCCCACACCCTGCTTTATGTGGGTTCTTTCATTCAGGGTATCAGTTACTTCATGTCCAGAGGTATTCTTGTGGACCACCCGAAGGAAATTGCCAAGTTTATATTCTATACCAGAATGCTGAATTGGAAGATGCTGCGGATTTATCTTGATGAACGGTTTGTTTGTTTAAATGTATATTATTAATGTCTTTTATTAATGTATAAGATGTGCAGTTTTAGAACTTCCACCGAGCTGTGAATATCAATGCCATGAAACTTGCTCATTTTGGAGGAAAACAAATAAGGGCACTGTCAATTTATATATGTATACACACAAATACACATTATAAAGAAATAATAATCTACAGCTGATAAATGCTGATTAAAATTTCGTTTTTGAGGGAAAAATAGTATTCTGCTGCTGATAATAATTAAAAATGTGGATTGAACTACTGTGTTTGCAGGCGAGATGTCTTGGATGAGCTTGTCACACTTCATAACTTTAGTAACCAGTTCCTCCCTAATGCACTGAGAGACTTCTTCAGACACATTCATGCCCCGGAGGAGAGGGGCGAGTACCTGGAGACCCTCATCACTAAGTTTTCTCATCGTTTCTGTGCCTGTAACCCCACTCTGGTGCAGGAACTGGGCTTAAGTCCTGGTAAGTGAAGTACAACACAGTCATAAAAGATCCCAGACTGGCACTTATACTCCAGAGTGATCTAGTGTGTAACTGAGACATCAAGAACACTGTGATTTGCTTTGCTGGTTGTCAGGTGTGTCAGCAGATCTCAAGTGACGTACACC